ATCATCAAGTTCAACCTTGTCAACTTAACCACAGCAAGTGCCACGTCCAGTTGTTTCTCAAAACCTTCCAGGGCAGCAGATTTCACCCCTTTCCTGCACAGCCCATTCCTATATTGAAGCACAACAATTTCTATTTTTGGAAAAAAAAATTCCAACATTTGTAAAATCAAACAATTTCATGTCAGACTTTAAGCTTTTCACAGTCCCTCAGATTCCTAGACACAGGATTCATATCACTTGGTGATACAGGGTTCTGCTGGATCAGGTCACGATGGGTTAGTCCACATGGATGGAAATCTATTCATCCTAGATTTTATAATTGCCCAGAGCAGCTGTGGCTGCCCCTGGATCCCTGGAAGTGCCCAAGGCCAGGCTGGACTCTGGGGCTTGGAGCAGCCTGGGATAGTGGAAGGTGTCCCTGCCCATGGCAGGGGTGGCACTGGATGGGCTTTAACGTCCTTTCCAAATCAAACTATTCCATGATTCCATGTGGAGATAATTTAAGCAGAGATGGTGATGGCAGTTGACTTTCAATCAGTTGATGGGGCACAAAAGCTGTTTGTCCATCCTGGAGTGATTTTGGGAGCTCTCTGTGGTTCCCAAATGCTGTGTTAGTCTCTGTGTGTTCACCTGCAAACACCAGCTGCAGGGTTTGACTTGGCTCCATCTCCTTCCCCTTCCCATGCCAAGGGGGAATTTGCCAGCTCCTTAACTGGACTATAACCCACACAAAAGACATGGGGGGAAAATGCAAGGTGTTAATAAAAATTGGATTGACATGGCAAAAAAAAGACTTAATATAAGAGCACTTTAAGTTTGCAGACTATTAGTGCTTTACTTCTGTGATTTTGCCTTAAATATTTGAAGAAAATTTGCTTACTATTCCTAGAATCCCGTAAAGATTTGGGCTGGGAAGAGACCTTAAAGCCCATCCAGTCCCAGGGCAGGGACACCTTCCACTATCCCAGGCTGCTCCAAGCCCCAAAGTCCAGCCTGGCCTTGGACACTTCCAGGGATCCAGGGGCAGCCCCAGCTGCTCTGGGCACCCTGTGCCAGGGCCTGCCCACCCTCCCAGGGAACAATTCCTTCCCAATATCCCATCCATCCCTGCCCCCTGGCACTGGGAAGCCACTCCTTGTGTTCTGGCACTGAATCCTGTCACTGTGTGTGTGGATATGCCCTGAGGGAAGAGCCCCTTCCCAGGGGTGTGATCTGTCCTTCTGGACAGCAATTTCTTATCCTAGACTATGGCCAGGGGGTGTGTGACAGTCCCCAACACATTGCTCTCAGCCCTGGCGTTGCTGCAATTCTCTGCCCAGCTGCCATCAGTGGCCCAGACCTGCAAAACCTGCTGGAAAAGGGAGTTGGAACCCTCAACAGCACTGTGGTGACTGTGCTTGGCCACAAATTTTGGCAGCTAATTAAAAATATTGATCACTAATGTGTTGTTTTTATATTAAATGAGATCTCTCAGTTAATACAGCAGCTGCTTCAGCAATAAATGTCTGGTAATTTTGGGTAAGATCCTCTAAAAAAGCTCTGGAATTTACTAGCCCTGAAAGAAGCTGCATTTTAGGTTCATTATTTTCTTCTCTCTCCCTCTTCCTGCCCCACCTCAAAAAAACTGGGACAAATTCCTTTGATTTCTTTCCTGCAGCCCTAAAACCTTAGATTTGTCAACTTTGTGCAAATTCGTGCAAGGATTCCTGAGGGGGAAAGCTAAACCTGCAGCACAGCACTCACTCTTCTCAGGGTTTATTCTGGGGTGGGGATGCTGTGCTGACATCCAGGAAGGAAGGCAGGTGGGATAATGGAGCAGAGAGGCAAGAGGAAGATCCCTTTGAGCCAGATTTTTAATCTCCCACCTCCAGGGGGACTCCTGGCTCCCTTTCTCAAGGGTGCTTGATATCAAGTGGGTTTACAGGATGGTCTGTGCAGGGTCTTCAGTGCCAGTGTCCCAAAGAACCTTCAATATTCTGTATGGATTGCTGTTTACAGTCTGTTTGGGACAGGGATTCAGTGCAGCTGAAAGGTTTGCCAGGGGTTTGTAGCCTCCTGCATTGCCACTATTCTGAAATGGGATTCATTGCTCTGAAATGGGAATTATTGACCCACAGCATTGTAGCAGCCTCACAGAGTTGTGTGCATCTCTTCTCCCAGCATTATCCTCTCTGCCAACATTCCCTGCTCCCTCTTTTCCAGGAAAGCAACCAAACTGACTGCCAGCAGGGAGGCTCCAGGGGTGGATGTTGTGCATGGCAGGAGCAGTTCCCAGCTTGGAATTCGTGCTGCTCCCACAGAGGACACATCACATTGGGAGCAGTTTGTTTGTGGAGTGTGCATTGATATCTCATTGCTCTATTTTTGAAAGAACACCACTTTGGGCTGCTCTGGGGAAAATTATTGAGCTTTTCTTCCTGTTCATGTGGCAGCCTGCTTTCCTTTTGATCCAGAAGGAAAAATACGTACTGAAGCTTTTAGAGGAGCAAAGGGAGGCTGTTAGAGCTGGAGAACACACACTATGTAAAGCTGCCATTGTGGGTTGCCTCGTGGGTTGGATTTATTGATTCTGACTGGTTTTGACTGGTTTTCCCCCCCTTGCACTGCAGGAGCTCTATCACCACTGTTTACATCGAGGTGCTGCCTCCCAACAACCAGAGCCCTCCACGCTTCCCACAGCAGATGTACAGCCTGGAGGTCAGCGAGGCCATGAGGATCGGTGCTGTTCTGTTAAACCTGCAGGTACAGAGGCTTCCCTGGGACCCCTGAGGGCAGTGGAACCTTCTCCACCTTCCTCTCCTCTGTGTCCATGCCACACATATGCCACTCCTTGCATCCATGGGGAAAAAGGGCAGTTCAAAGGGATTGAAAATTATTTCATTTTGATCAGCAGCCCCTTTTACATGGACTGTAGAGAAAAAGGGCTCACCTGGCTATTTCTGTTACTTCTTTTTTTTTATTCTAATATTGTAAAAGATGCTATAGGCTGCAAATGGCACTGCCCAGAGAAGCTGTGGCTGCCCCTGGATCCTTGGCAGTGTCCAAGGCCAGGCTGGATGGGATGTGGAGCAGCCTGGGATAGTGGAAGGTGTCTCTGCCCACGGCAGGGGTTGGAATGAGTTGATCTTAAAAATCCCTTCCAATCCAAACCATTCTGGGATTCTGTGACAATTATATTAGAAAAAAAAATTCTAAGTGGCTGGAAACTTGAAAGGCCTGTGATTTCTTGTGTTAAAATCTCTCTCTATATTTGCCAATAGATCAGAGGAGCTTCAGCACCTCATTCATGGGGAATTTCAGCAAGATTTTTGGCAATTTGCCTTCCCTAGCCTGTCATTTTTGAAAAATGCTTGAAGATATTTCTACCCCTTGGTGTGTGGAACAACAGGCTGAGAGGGAGCAGAGATCCCACTGCTGCCAGGCCCAGAACTGGTGGGACATTGTGCCCTGGGATCAGGGATCATGCAACAGCTTATGGCCAAGTCCAGGAGCAGGAACATACCTCATCCTCATGCATCAGGACCAGACATCCCCTTGTTGTGCTAATGGTTAAAAAATCAGTTCTCACTTATTTACTGTTCCTTATTTACTGCATTGTGTTCTGCCTAAAAACCAGCTGTGCAAAACAGGGAGATAAATGGCAACTCTTTATTGAGGTTTTATTTTTGAGGGATCAGGAACTTAATGCTGTATTTAGCAGTAGTGAAATAAAGGAGCTCTAATTAACTCACTAAAGCAGGTGGTTGGGAAAGCTCCTGCTAAAATGGTTTCCTGCTGAAAGACTAGGATTATTCTGGCTGGTTAAGCTCATAAAGTCACCTGTGCTGAGGGAGGATGACTAATTTAGCTCAGTGCTGCCAATTAACTCCTGGCACATCTGTGGTGCCTGTAGGGATGGAGGAGTGGAAGGGCCAGGCTGTTCAGGAGCCTTTTCCTCCCTGGTGAGAGACACTTGGGGTTGGAAGTCCCAAAGAGGAACAGAAGCCAGGAACATGCTGAGAAACAGAAACATTTGTGTTTCCTTGACAGGTGCTAGCGTCTGTGGCTGAGGGCCTGAGGGATTTTTGGAGGCAGAAAACCTCTTGGCAGGTTTTAGTATTGAAGGATTTGATGGGTTTTAAATATGGTTGGAAAATGAAGCTCCAGTGGAATGATCTGCTTTAATGTTTCACTAAACTCCAAACAGCCCATTATGTGCTGGCCCTGCTGAGGGACCTCAAGGGCTGGGTCCAGTTCTGGGCCCCCCATCCAGGAAGGACATGGAGGGGCTGGAGCGTGTCCAGGGAAGGGAACAGAGCTGGGGAAGGGGCTGGAGCCCCAGGAGCAGCTGAGGGAGCTGGGAAAGGGGCTCAGCCTGGAGCAAAGGAGGCTCAGGGGAACCTTCTGGCTCTGCACAACTCCCTGACAGGAGGGGACAGCCAGGGGGGGTCGGGCTCTGCTGCCAGGGAACAGGGACAGGACAAGGGGAAACGGCCTCAAGCTGTGCCAGGGGAGGCTCAGCTTGGACACCAGGAGGAATTTCTCCATGGCAAGGGAGCTCAGGCCTTGGCAGGGGCTGCCCAGGGAGCTTTGGAGTGCCCATGCCTGGAGGTGTCCAGGGAAGGGCTGGACGTGGCACTCAGTGCTCTGGGCTGGGGACAAGGTGGGGATCAGGCACAGCTTGGACTCCATGGGCTGGGAGGGATTTTCCAGCCTCAGTGATCCTGGGATTTACTAAAAAATACTTGATTATTAAAACCCAAATATGCTTGGCTTTAGCTTTGGTGCTTAGTGCAGGACTGTATCCCTTGAAGTTCTGATTGTCCTCAACCTGAAATGTGGAAGATGAAGAGGGACTTTTTACAAAGGTCTAGAGTGCCAGAATAAGGGGAAGGGTTTCCAAGCACCAGCGGGCAGCATCAAATGGGATATTGGGAAGGGATATTTCCGTGGCAGGAGGGAGGCCCTGGCACAGGGTGCCCAGAGCAGCTGTGGCTGCCCCTGGATCCCTGGAAGTGCCCAAGGCCAGGTTGGACTCTGGGGCTTGGAGCAGCCTGGGACAGTGGAAGGTGTCCCTGCCATGGCAGGAGTGGTACTGGGTGGGCTTTAAGGATCCCTCCCAACCCAATTCCAAGTCCAGCTCCCTTGTCCTGCATTAGATTACAGTCCTTCATCTGTATTGAAGGACTTCTCCTGTGTGCAGCATATTTCTGTTTTAATCATTCTTTATTCCCTGCTGTGTAAAATCCACTAGCACAGTTTAAACATTCATAAACTGAGTATTTAAACTTCTGAAATCCTATACTGCCTTTTCCAGGCAACCAAAAGTTCCCAGTTAGGCACCTTGTTTTGGGTTTTGTGCCTGAAGCCATTGCCTGTATTCCATCAATGATATGGAATATCACCAGGCCTCAAATTTTGAACAACTGTTTTCATGGGTAAACTTTCACACTGATGTTTCTTTTCCGGAGTCTTATCAATCCAATTAGTGTTTGGGCTGGTACAGATTAAGAAAATACGCTTTTATGGCTCTCTCTTAGTGATAATTTGGTAGTTCTGCATACAGCAGGACAGTTGCTAAATCCTGAAAAGAGCCAACAAAATTTTTCAGATATTCCCAATTTATCAAATCTGAAGATCTGCAAAACATTAGGGTCAGTAATAATGCAAATATAGCTGCTTTAAATTTTCCCTTTAGACTTTGGAAAAATGAAATTCACTTTTTTCTTGTCTATTAAAATTTCTTCTGCTGATGATGGAGGGCTTTATTTCTTTCTTATCCCCTTATTTATTTTCTAATGCACCCAGCTGGTCTTGACTGGTGGTTTAATTAACAACATTGAGATTATTGCAATATTAAATGATCTCCACTGCATTAATTTGTAAATAAACCTCAGAGTTTATTGCATGCCTGGAGGCGTTTATGGCTTCATGTTCTGCCAGCCATTATTAATTAAAATATGCAAATGCTGTCCTTTTTCTGGGAGCCTGCAGAACAAATAGGGCCGTTAGCAGGGTCCAGTTATGTGTTGAACAAGGAGCTAACATGGAATTGTTGTATGCAATTTATGGAATCACTCTATGCCATTGATCTGGAAAAAATTAAGGAATAGGTTGCTCTTCCCCCTTGCCTTCAAGTGGTTTTCTTCTCTACATAAGAACATGGTGATCTTTGCTTTTAAAAAAAGCAGGGGTGTTTAAAAGCAATGATTAACTTTTACCCTTTCTATTTTTTTTTAAGCATGTTGATTGAAGGTGGATTTTCCATGGGGCTAAAGAGAAAATGAAATCAACAGCAGCTAGTCTTTGATTTTCTGGCTTCCTGAGAACCCCCTGACTTGTTATGAGAGAATGCAGACCATAATGATACCTCTGAGACAACTTAATGTGAAGGGGAGGGCAGGATGCCCTGCAGGGAAGGTAAAAGGAGGACAAAGCACTAAAGACAGGAGCAACCATGGGATTCTGGTGATTTAGGATCAAGGACAGTCCTCAGAGATGCTAGCTCCTCACGTTGTCTGCCCCCAGTGTTTGCAGCATTTTGTGTTCTTGGCTCAGATCCTGACTGTTCATATCCTCAGGCCAAGGAGATCCAAATTCCACCCACACCTTCCGTCACTCAATGCCACCCATGGAATTTATAAACAATTCTCTCCATTTTCCCATCCCTGATGCTGTGGATGGGAATGTTGATTAGTGCTGGGAGAGCTGTACCCACCCATGCAGAACTGAGTCAGTATGCTAGCCACTACTGCCTGACCTTAATTTTGATGATGGGTTTAATTCTTGCTTAATCCCACCCTCCATTTGGAGACTGTGTTGTCGGAACTCCTTTGGGAAAATGTCCCATTGAGCAGTGGGAAAAGCCTTCACCATGGCTCAGCTGCTTTATTGATCCACAGTTTCTGCCCTGTTCAGGAGACTTGTCCTGTTGGAAAATCAGATTAAATTGCTTCAGCATCCTTTTGTTCTGGAGAAATTTAGTTCTGTGTTATCCGTCTGCATATTGGCATTGCAAGGAACTTAAAAATAATTGGGATATTTGTGGGTTTCTGGGAATTGCACTCCACCTGCCTGGTGAATGATTTCCTGTCTCATTCTTACGTGAAGGATAGACCTTGGGTTTGCCCTCCAGCATTTTTGTTCTCTGGGAGTGCTCAAATAAAAAATCTCTGATGGCTTTGAGATTGCTCCCACCCTTCTATACACCAGGATGGACTTCACCAGGCTTGAATTCCAGCAGCTGGTTCAAAGATGCTATGTTTATGAACATCTTCTCTGTCTGACCCTTGCCCAGCTCACAACTGAATTTTTTCCCAGTTAATTTAGTTTGGAGCTGGAACAGGGGCACTTTTACCTCTTTGACCTTCTCAACATCATTCCTTCTGCTTTGCAAACCACTCCTCAGGTTCCTTCTGTAACTGAAACATTTCTTTGTTATCCTTTGTGTTCTCTCCTGTTTCTACTCCAGTTTTGTCTTGACTTTTTCCAACTGTGTCCCCATCCAGTTTTTCTTGCCCTTTATTTGTGCTGATCCCTTCCATCTGACTTAGACCCTGTGTTTTATTTGGCTAAGCCTAGTTGTTTTCTTACTACATTCCCTGCTCTGCCTGCATATTTAAACGGTTTGTGCTTCTGCTCTTGATTTTGGGGGGTGCCTGAGTAGGCTTTTTTGTTATTTTTCTTGGGTTTTTATCTCAAAAACTGCTTTTTAGGTGGTCAGCTCAAAGCTACACAGCCCTAGATTGTGGTCCACAGCAACAACTTGACAGGAGCAAGGTGAGGGTTGGCCTCTTCTCTTCTAGAACAGAGGAAATGGCCTCAGGTGGCACCAGGAGAGACATCAAACATAGTTTATTCAACTTTTGAAAGACTTTTTTCCACCTAATAGGTGGAATATCCCCATTTTGGTGCTGTTAATGTCTGTTCTTAAAGGTCTTACCCTGATCTTCACCACATCAAAAAGCAAATTATTGTGGGCTGTGAGTGCTGCAGTTGGAACTCACTGGAGCATCAGCCAAAGGTGGGAATTCTAATAAGATAACAGAAAGAGGGCTCTTGATAAGAAGTGGAAATGAAGAATGGGAAGAAAGGAAACCAAAAGTTCAGTCTAATTAGTGTGGAGCTGCAGAAAAATAGAAGCAAATGATTAAAGCCTGAATTTCATACTCATGCTGTTGGATGTAGCTGTAATTTGATAATTACTAATAATTAGTAGTAATTATTATCTTGCATTCAGGATATTGTCATTTCTGTGTAGCATAGGAATTCTGATGTGCTCCAGCTTTATCTTGAGTAGCTTGTCAATAACCAGGGTTGCCTTAGAAACCAGGATTGGGATCATCCCTGAGGGAATCTTTCCTAAAACTTAATTCCCCAGCTTCTACATGGAAGGAAAGAGAGGAAACCTTTGCCACTGACTGAATTTTATCCTCTTTTTTCCTTCCCTAAAGGCTTTCGACAGAGAGGGAGACCCCATCAAATACCTCATTCAGAATGGAGATCCTCAACAAGTTTTTAATCTCTCTCAAAGGTAAGTGGGAAACCCTCGGAGGACAGTCTTGGAGCTTGTCAGTCCCGGGAATGGAGGAGCTGAGAGAAAGGGGTTGTGCTCAGACACCTTCAGCTGCTCCTTCGAGGGGTTGTTAGCCATTAATGAGAGCTCTGTGAGCCAAATTCCACTCTGGGGTTTGTCACTGGCCACTGTTTATTTATTTTAAACACCTCAGGTAAAGGAAACTCACTGAGGTGGAAAGATTCTATTTAAAAGAGTGGCCAGGGATTAATTAAAACCCTTTACCTGTCAGCTCCTGACTAATGATAGGGACAATTTTTGCTTTAATTTCCTGACTTGTTATGGTTTAGCCTGTAGTGAAAAGCCCTTTGAGCATTGTTTAAGAACTGTATTTTCCTTAAATTAAATTCCAACTCAGAGTGAGAGTGAGAGGGTTTGCTATGAAATGAAGCACCAGATTGGTCTCTGCCTGGCCCACCACCCTTTATTTTACCTATTATTAGCTATTAATTTACCTGTTATTCATTTTTATTTGCAATCCAAAGTATCCTTTTTACTTGCAGGGGGAAGGGAGGATGGTGACCTGACTTCCCACAATAAATGATGGGACAGAAGTAAACTGGGGCTTATTAACTCCTGGTGCAAAATAATTCTAATTTGATGTGAGGGGAAGATTGTGAACCTAAATACCCAAAACTCCTGAGACAGGTTTGTCTGTTCTGAGCTGTGGATAATAAATCTCCCATTCAAGGAGAATTCAAATCCTTCAGGAAACAGTGGGAACATAGCCTTGAGGATGCCAGGAGGTGCTGATGCTCTCATCCACTAGGACTGATAAAGACTTGGCAGGTGAGGGAAGGGACACCTTGGAGAGGGGACACTTTCCTTCACTGGAGTGGCCAGAGCAGGGATTGATGTTGGGCTGCTGGTATTATCTATGGCTTGGGATTGGAGTTTTGTAGGGACTCCTGCCCAGGTGCTGCAAGCAACCCTTAACATGGAGAAACTCAGCCTAACCTGCTCTGGCACCTTTAGAACCTGGATAATCTACAATAGCAACATGAGAGATGCTCCAAAGGGGGGTTGCAATGGGAATAAAGAAGGATTTGTTGATTTAGAAGATGAATATCAAATGTGGGTGCAGCAAATAAAATTGAGAGCTGTGCCTGACCACTGCTTATGCCTGATCTATCCATTGGCATCCACTGGGAAATCACAGGATCTCCAGATCCCAGCTGGGGTGGATTTTGGGCTGCAAAAACTTGTGTTGTTACATCTTTCTTAAGATATTTGGTGGAATTCCGTGGGAGGAGCTGCCCAGGATAACTATCACCCTTGATCCATAGTTGTTAAATTCCCTGTGGATTTAGGAGAGGTGCTGTCACTTTGTCACAGTCTTGCTCAGGTTCCAGCAGGTGCCAAAGCTGTGGAAATGAAATGTGGAGCTTTGGGACAGTTCAGAGCTCTAGTTCCAGCTCAGTTAAGGAGTGTCGAGCTTCCTTAGGCAGGATTGTCCACACTGTACCTTCCTAATCTTTCCTAACATAGAAGTTGTGATTCTGTGCTGGGGTCTCATCCCTCTGGGTGGCTTCCAGACATCTGCAGAAGGGAATTAGATCAGAGGAAAAATCCAAATTGTTTCATTTGTCAGCACTTACAGGAGTTTGCAATGCTTTCAAACATTTTATTTTTTTTTTTATGTGGCTTCCAATTAACCCTTCTTTTGTTGTCCTTTTAAAATGGGATTCAATAATCATAAGATCCCAATTCCCTGGAATTGTCCAAGGCCAGGCTGGATGGGCCTTGGAGCAACATGGGATAGTGGAAGGTGTCCCTGTCCATGGCAGGGGGTGGCACAGGATGGGCTTTAAGCTCCCTCCCAACCCAAACCACTCTGGGATTTGTTTTCCATCACCCTTGTGGCCGCAGCAACATTTAACTATTAGGGGATACTTGAAGGCCTTACTCTGAAGTTACACAATGTGTAACTTTCACCAGTAGCCTCTCCCTGAGGAGACTCACCCTGAAGTCTGTGTGTGTTATATTCCCAGAGTTTCCTGCTCAGTCCTACAGGGTATCAGAACTCCTCAGTGATTAATCCCCTGCTTGTAATCCAGGATTATTCCTATATCCAAGTGGAGAGCATTAGGAATTGGCTCATGGTTTTTCTTGGCCTTCACCCACAGAAAGCCCAAGAGCTCCCACAACAAGGGGCCTTAGTGTCAGCAAGGTGGTGGAGCTCAGGTGGTCATAGACCTCTCCCAGCCACCCTGCTAACATGTCCTGGTTTTGTTTCCTTCCCAGCTCTGGCCTGCTGGCCTTGGGAAAGGCCCTGGACAGAGAGAGCACTGACCGCTACATCCTCATCGTCACAGCCTCGGACGGCAGACCTGACGGGGTGAGTGTCCCACATGGTCTGATTGTGTGCTTTTCATGGATCTTAACCAAACCTATCTGAAATCTGGGACAGTTTTCCTCTGGTTGGGGTGGGGTGAAGCCTGCCTTTGATCACAGACAAAAGGATTTTGCTGCTGATTTGAGTTATACTTTAACAGACAAGATTCACAGTGTTAATCTTCTATTTATTCTCTGTGCTATTTGATACCTGCTCCTCTTCTTCCCTGCTCCCAGATGTGGAAGCTGTATTAGTGATTTGTACTATATCCAGCCCTTTTCCACAACTTACTGTCCAGCTCTCCAGAAAAAAATCTGGAAAAATCCCACTTCTCTTTCAAAAATAACATTTTTTTTATCAGGAACTATTCCAAGTCTTCCATGTTTGCACCAATCCATGACCCCACAACCAACCCCACCAGCACTTGCGTTTAATATAACAAAATTTTGATTTTTTTAAATTTTCACGTTATAAAATGGTGGACTATTTAAGGATATGTGCTTATTGATCAAGCAGAGGCAATGGAATTACTTTTCCTGAAAGTTTGCAGCTAGATTGTTCAAGGTACCTGGAATGCAGCAGCTCTGCCATGGAATTATAACACAGGGTGGGGAGAAATATCTGTACATCTGACCTTGTGTATAAAGGCAGATCTAAAATATTATCTCTAATAATTAATAAATAACAAGAATGCATCATCTGGGCTATTCTAGAAAGATGTGTGATTGAAGCAGAGACATCTCTGACACATTGCCACAGAGTGATCATGAAAATTCTGTGATTTGGACCTGTGGTCATCGTGGCAGAAGAAAATCTTGTTTATTTTTTCTATCTCATGCTCTTCTTAGCTTCTTCACCTTACAAGCTTTGCTTTCCTGTTCTGGATTTACTCAGAATTTACACACACACACACACACAAACACACACATGCAAAAATAACAAGGAAGACTTTATACAATTTAATGGCAACATGGAGTAATTATAAGAGAGTCTCCACCTTGTCCACAAAAAATCTGGTTACAATTTTTGTGGTAATTCATCTTAAAACTTGTGGGTTTGTTCTTCGTGAACTGTTCTCACAGCTGTGAGTTCAGTGGTTTTGATCTCAAATTTCCAGCTGGGAAATCTGAAGATGTAAATTAAGGACTTGCAAGTTGTTTCAGGCTGTGTTATGCTCCTGAAATAATCTCTGGGATGTAAAAAAAAAAGGGGACTGAAAATCTCCTTCCTCTTTATTTCATCTAGAGTGAGATTCATTCATTTTGCCCCAGGATTAAGTGGCCAGCAGATTAATTCTAACATTCTGAAGGTGATAGTTGGGGTCTTGAAAGGAAATCCTGTTAATCATGGCACAGTGCTTAGCAGAAAATAGTTGTATGTGAGCTGAGATATGGTGTTTGAAGCTCAGCTCTGGAAAAACCAACCAAAATAAACCATGGAGGGATTCTTTAGAGTTATCCCTAGACTGTGCTGTTGAACACCTCTTGAAGTTCTTGTTACTTGTTGCAACAACAAAATCCACTTTAAGAAATCCACCCCTGGCTATCTCATTATTTCCTCTCCTCCCTCAATCCCATTGGCAGGGGCTGTCCAGGGAGGTTTGGAGTCCCCATCCCTGGAGCTGTCCAGGAATGGCCTGGACGTGGCACTCAGTGCTCTGGCATGAGGTTCCATCACAGATCAGATCTGATAATCTTGGAGATTTTTTCCAGCCTTGTTGATTCCATGACTCTTTGTGGTTTCATACTAGATCTTTTTTTCCCTGGAATTTTGCAGCTGCGGGTGTGTGTGCATTGTTCTCAGGGTGAAACGTGGGCACACTCTGTAGCTTAAGCCCGTTCCTTCTGCCTGGTTTGGGGTTTTTGTCACTGTCCCTTATGTGCCTGTAGCTGCTTTCCACAGTTCATATTTACTGTCAGTGGTGGGGCACCTTTCTTCTTAAGATTGTCCAGCAATAGGACTCAGTCGACCAAAGCTTCTGGTGCCAGCAGCTGGAAAGGGTTAAAAGTTTGGCTTGCCAGGATCACAAAAAAAGGCTGGATAAGCTTCTTGGCTTTCATTTTACAAACAAATGGATGAAGCAAGGCAGCTCAACCAAGCCATTAAATCTCCAGGCCTTTTCCATGCCAGGAAACCGTGGATGTGACTAATTTGCCAGGCCTCCTTGTGTCTTTGCACAATTCCCTTGATTTGCAGCTCTTCTGGATGTACTCCCTGCTGTTTGACAGGCTTCTCCTGGAGGAGGGTCAGGACACACTCAAAGCTCCTGGCTGGTACTGTGCCAAACCCTTTTGAGGACACAGATCCTTGGTCCAAGCAGTCAGTGCCATTTCAAGGAGGAATTTTGCTTTTTAACTAGTTCTTATCATGAAGCAACAGTGACTTTTTAGGGGGAAAAAAATATTTATACAATTACGAAACCACTGATCCCCAAGCTCATTCACCTGCTTCTTGTCATCCAGCTCTGCTTTTTGTGAACAGTTCCATTAGTGCCTACAGAAAACTGGCAATGTCACAGATGCCGTGTTGCAGTTTGCCTAAAATCCTAAAATCAATTCCCCAGGCAGGTACAATGTCATTTAAATTCCATTAACATGTTTTAGCTGGTAACATATCCAACCTGATCCTTTTCCATCCAACGTGAAACCAGCTATTAGAGTCAAACCTACTTAAAGTCAGCTTTTGGATTTAATTTCCTGTATTTTCTTGTGGGGTTTTTGGGGTTTTTTTTTTAAATTTGAAAGGCATTCAAAGGAAAAAGACTTTACTGGTGTGTGTGGGGAGGGGGTTGTTGTTATTGTTGTGGGTTGGTTTTTTTTTCAATGAGATGTGGTGGCTTGACCCTGCTCTATCCCTGCCCTCCTCAGCTGGACAGGAATAAAAATATAAGGAAGGACTTGGGAGCTGAGATAAGGGCAGGGAGAGATCTTTCACCAAATATTGTCATGAGCAAAACAGCTTGGGGAAATTCATTGATTTTATTACCCACAAAATCCCAGCAGGGTAATGGAAAGTAAAACAAATCTTAAGAACATCTTCCTACCACCCCTCCCTCCTTCCTGTGCTCTCCCTCCTCCCCTCCAGTGGCACAGGGAGATGGGAATGGGGGTTTGTGTTGTTTGTGCTGCTGCTGCTTCCCCATGGAGATGTGTAGGAGTCCTTCCCCTGCTCCAGCATGGGGTTCATCCCACGGGACACAGCTCTCCAGGAGTCCATCCCATAGGCTGCAGCTCTTCATGAACCACTCCCATGTGCATCCACTTCCATGGGGTCAGGCCTTCAGGAAAAGGCTGCTCCACTGTGGGTCCCCACAGGTCTCAAGTACTATCAGTAAACCGTCCCCAGTGTGCGCTTCTCTCTCCATGGATCCATGAGTTCCTTCTCCAACATGGGCTTCCCACCTCTCTCAGCATCCCCATGCTCTGGTGTGGGCACCTGTAGGAGCTGCAGGTGGATCACTGCAGCCTCCTTGGGCTGCCAGGGCACAGCTGCATCCCCATGGGCTTCCCCATGGAATCTCAGCTCCAGTGCCTAGAGCAGCTCCTCTCCCTCTTCCTGCCCTGGGTGCCTGCAGATCTGCTCCTCTCCCATGGTCTCACTCCACTCTTCTCTGGCCACAATTACAACTACACAATAACAATTTTCATTCTCAAATCAGTTATCCCAGAGGCATCACTGCCATCTCTGCCTTGGTCAGTAGCAGGTTCATCCTGAATCCCCTGGATCCAGGCACCGTTGGAGCTTCCAGCAGCTCCTCAGAGAATCTGCCCCATAACCCCTCACTACCAGAACCTTGTCACACAAACACAGTCCAGGAGAACTTTTCTCCTCAGGTACAACATGGATAATTGGCATTTGTACATTTCTGTGGCTTGGTTTTGTGAACAACATTCATAGGATCCCCAGATAAATTCCTGTAGCATCTCAGGAGCTGATGTTCCTCAGGCACTGACAATTTAAATGTGGTTATTTAATCCATACCTTTCAAGCATAAACATGTCCAAAAAGCCCTCACGGAGTGGAAAAAGGGGAACATTTGTATTGGTCTTTCATACTCATCTGAGTAAGTTCAGTGTTTGTAACTTCACCCAGTGATACTGGTTCAGAAATTCAGGCCAGCACTCCTGAATTCCAGTATCCACAATATTTCCCTGCCAAACTCTGTGTGAACAAAGATTTTTAGCTGTTATGACATGAAAGCAAAGGGGCAAGACTTCTGCTCATGAATTTTTAAATAATAGTGTATAAAATCCTGGAACACCTCAGTTGGGAAAGGTTGCTATGCTTGAAAATTGTCGATGCTTTCAAGGAAGAAATCTATCCCAGACTGCTTTGAAAGCTTTCTCTCTCAACATGATGATTCTCATGTTCTCGTAAAACCAGGGATGTTTTTTTCTCCATGGAGCTAAGCAAGGCTCAGGCATCTCCAGCCCTGGCAGGATCTTCCTTGGCCCAGGGAGACACATTAAAATGAATTTTTCTTCCCACTCTGGTATCTCCAGGACTTTGGAGGACAGCAGGACACCTCCCACATGAGCTTGTGCTTCTGCTTGGGGTCCAGCAGCCCCAGCCTCACACTTTTGGACAGTAGTTTCCTCCAGATGCTTTTCCCAGTTATGAATGTCACAGAATCCTTAAAGTTGGAAAAGACCTCTGAGATCATCAAATCCAACCATCAACCAGCTCCACCACTACCACGTTCTCAAGTGCCACATCCACACGTCTTGAGCACTTCCAGGGATGAGGACTCCACCACTTCCTGAGAAGATGTTCTAGTATTTCACAGTGCTTTTGGTGAAGAAATTTTCCTTAATATCCAAGCTAAACATCCCCTGGCACAACTCAAGGTCATTTCCTCTCATACTGGAGAAGACATCTCGCCATTTCCTTTCTAAACCCACCAGTTCCTGGCTTCTTCATCTTGGACCTCATTACTCCACAGCTGCCACTAGGGCCAGCCAGTGCTCTGTGCCTGCACTAAAATCCATTGGAGTAGCACAAGG